GCAAGACCTCGATGTGGTACGTTATCAGTAATAATCAGAATAACAACTGAAATAGAGGTAGAAATAATAAGTAAACGGTGACCTAAAAGAAAAATAACAATAATAAAAAAGAAAGATAGAAGAAAAACAAAAGAAAAAAATCTAAGTAAAAGAATGACTTTAGTGATCAAGTAAGCGTGATGCGACTATTTCGCGAATTTTTCTTAAAACAAACTTAGGTATTTCTGGCCGTGCAGAGGGGAAGAGGGCAGTGTGAGAGTGAGTTCGAAAAGTAGTTTCACACAAAAGATATTTGCTTCCAGAGTTTTCCGGACATCTCCTTGAGTACCGATTTTTGAAAAACATTTCTAAATATTTTCTGCTTACGAAAGCATACTCGTAAGTCTTGACTATCGAATAGCGAAAACCGCGATTCTTCGGCTACAAACTATTTATAAACGAACATATGATACGAATTGCACGGATTTACCGAAGTTAACAACTCTTCGATGGATTTTATGGATGGACGCTTTAGTCCATCTGATCATGAGAAAAATTGAATATATTGTTATGTCGGATTTTCCAGTTATGGGAAACAGTTTTTTTTCAGAGATCGCCTTGAACAGCGCTTTTTGAAAAACATTTCTAAATATTCCTTGCTTATAAAAGCATGCTCGTAAGTCTTGACTATCGAACAGTGGAAACCGCGAGTCTTCATCTACGTTCGTTCAGATGTTATTCAAAGAATTGCTTCTCGAACCTTTCCAAGTTTTCTTCACTAAAATACACGATCGAAGGTTATCAAGCGAGAAATCATTTTTTCAAGACTTTAAAATCTTTCTTTGAAACAGCCGATGCGGAGCAAATGAGCATGGCTACTGACAGCAGATACGTTGCATAAGAAAAAAAAATTCATACAATGGCTCAGGACTAATTTAAATTATTTCGTTGTCTTTCTTGCTTTTTTTGTCACAAATTCCTAAATATAAAATAGACTGCATTAGTCGAAAGGAACGGTTATTAGAGTCTTTAGCTTACTTGTCCGCCAGCAGTCACTATTCGTTCGTGTTCATCCTCTTCTTCTTCCGGAATGACCAGAGTTGGTGATTTAGACCCTTTTTCCGTTGTTGTTTGTGATGGACGCTTTCTCTACAGCAAAAAACGAACATTGGTTTAAGCTTTAATCTTGAACCAGAACGAAATCGAGAATATAAATTCCCATTATATCATTCTGAAACTTAAACTATCAAAACACAAAATCAATCCTTGCACGAAGCTAGGATCGAACACACGAACTTGATCTTTGCAGACGAACTGCTGATCTTTGCAAACGAACATTACTAGATTAGTTGTTTACTGTCATATATCTCGGAACATACCGACGCTTCGAAAACGATATTTTCCATTTTTAAGCTATCGACATACGCTTTGAGTGGCACTTGCAGTTGTCGAAGACGAGTTTCTAGTTTGCTAATTTCACTAAATTGAGCAGTATCGACAGTATCCTTATGGAAATAGAGTGACGCTGATCCATGTGGATTTCCTGTTTCAAATTTACCTAGAAAGCAACAAAGGTTATGAAGCAGTCTTTCATTTGCTGTTCAAATATACACACCAAAACCGGCTTGCTGCAGTTTAAAAAACACGTCTTTCACTATGACAGCCTTGATTCTTTTGACACCAGTCAAGTACGACGATGCCACGATTTTTCGAGGTGTTAATAATACCGTTTTTGAAGGATTAGCAGCACTAACTGTATCTTTTTGTGAAGGCGTATCCAGATATAATTCAACCTTTTTTATTTGTTCAAAATTGATATCTTCCCCATAATCTGCTAAGCATTGTTTTGGATTATTGTAATAATTCATCAATTTTGTGACTGCGGTTGCTTGTTTTTCTGCAATAATCAATGTGAATGCATCTATAAACAACTTTTCCATAGCTTGTGTAATTAGTGTTTAAGTTTGTGGTGAAAAATCGTTGTAATTTAATCTGAACGGATCTGTAAGAAAAGCCATAGTAATAGTATACTGAAAACACTGAAACACAAATCTATTAACTTTTTTCGTCGCAAGATAGCTCAAAGTGTCCTTTTCAAAATGGAGAGTACTATTGATTTCTAGTAGGAGTGGCATCAGACAGGAGCGTATGAAAAATGAAAATTTTAAATTTTCTTCGAAAAATATTTTTTTCTGAAAGAACAACCATGTTCTTTTGATTCTTCTATCGTCAGTTTACAGCGCGGTTTCCGATTCGATGGATTGTTTATTATTTCATTATTAATCTCTTTGTCTCTTTATGAAAAATAAGCAATTTTATATATTTTATTTTGATGAGCTATCGAATAAACTTCAGTGTTGTAATTCAAACTAGCAGTAATAAGGATGAATGGGACTTACTCAGTGTGCTACCAACGAGATCCATCACATGTATTATTCCACTTAGCCGATCTAATATAAGCTGACCTTTACCATACATGGTTGATAAAAATGAATCATACATATTGATATTATTAATGATATCCGTATACTCGTCAAATTTCTTCCGCATTATCTCCTTCGCTTTTCCGAATAATAATAGATACGTTCCTGAAATTAAATAATCATGTCATAGTACAGAAACTTGGAAAAGGCTTTCTGAATGTAGGACAAAAATCGTTATTTTTATTCTTTAGTTTCATTTTTATTTTTACTTATTTATTTTTGCTTTTTTCCTCATTGTTTTTCTCTCACTCGTTCAGGTTATTAACCTATTCATTTGTTGCTTTTCACTTATAGTAACTATAGTGACTCCTGACACTGAGATGATAGATTTCTTCGCTTCAATGCTGGATGTTACATGTTCTTCTTTGTTATCCTGTTGAATAATTAAAGCTTAAATCAAAGAAATTTTACATTAGAAAACACTTGATAAACGGTTTCTATATTGCACGGCTTTATAGAACATGATGACATAGTAAAATTAACTGTCGAATCATTTTGTTAACATATAGGCACAATGTCTCATCGCTAAATATAATTAAAAAAATGATTGAAATATAGTGTTAATGTGTTAATGTATCAATCTTTTGTGCGTTTTGTAATAATTTTAATAAGATCTACGATGTTAAGTGAGGTGGGCAATCACTTATGTGTACTAGCAATACTAAATGATCCACTTTTCTGTACGATAGGTGCATAGACTCTCAGTTCCCAAATAATTTACTTCGCCATAATTAAGAAACTATTCCAAACTAAAGTTCAGACGGGGTGACACTGATGTCCAGGACAGCAAGAAATGAAGTAAACTATGAATCTTCTAAGTGTGATTTGGGCCGTTGAGAGCGTTATCGGCAGCAGCAACATGTATTTAGTTAATACGCTATTAAACGAATTTTTGCCGAGCCCAACACTGAACTGAACAGACTTGCCATTCTGCGGAATACCATATGCTAGGCGTATCGTGAGCATAAAAACTGCATTCGACTTACATGTCAGACAGCGAAGTGTATCAATACTATGTGCAAAGTCTGCTTTGGAGTCCAGGACGCGTATAGTTTGCCGGATACCATTTGCACACAGCCCATTGAGCTTGACACGTTCATCCTGAGTACTCATGAGTCAGTAACGAGTACTGTAGGTACCACTTTGAGTACTCATGCTTGGGTATTGTTGAGTACTCATACAACTTTCGGCAAAATACTCATGAGTATTGTTCATCTGATATTTTCATATAGAGGAGTGATCTCAGGTAGCAAGAGTAGGACTACAAGTCTATCTTTGACTATATACAAAGAGGCCAGTGAGAAAATAAAAATATAAATATTCTGTGTTTCTTTACTAAATTCTACATTCCACTACCACCTTACATCTATACTTCTTCGTACTTTCTGTATTTCTTCGTACTTAGGTACGTTTGAAGTACATAAATATGTGAAGGGAATTGATCCTTTCGTATGTTTATTCATAAAAACGATCCTTATATGTGCTGTACACGAGTATATATAGTGTCAGAGACAATGAATGGAAATTATAGAAGAGAGAGAGAGTCAACAATCTAGGAGCGAGAATGAATTATACACTAGAAAGTGAACAATGAACGGTCAAAGGATAGAGAATGAAATATATAGAGAGAGAATGAAATACAAGAGAGAGACGAATTATGGAAAGAGAATGAAATATATAGAGAGAGTAGAATACAATATAGAGTTGACAATGAACAAGAGAGGATGAGAAAGAGAATGAACAGTAAGCGCTGAAGGACTGAAGAAGATACCGGTCCTTTACATCTGCCCCCACCAGAAAAAATCAGGTGCCCCTGCACCGAAATGAGAACAAAACAATCTCCCAGAGAGAGAGAGTAACCAAAACCTAAGATATCGAAGACCAAACAAAAACAGAAAAAACGAAGTAAGAGAGAAAGCAAAAACCCGAGTAGAACAACCGCAATAGAGAGAGGGAACGAGAAAAACATAGCCTAAGAGAAAACAACAAAGCGAAAGTAAAATAAAAATGAGTTTGGACGTCACAATTTATAGTTTTTTGTTTAATCGTTTCTTTCGTCGACCTTTTCGTCTTGGGCGTCGTTGAGCCAAACTGATTCGTAATTGTTGTTCCAGATGTGGTGGTATGTGGATTTCCATCAATGGTATCAGCTTCTGGTGGACTGTTGGTGGACGGTTTGTTTCGCCATCTACCCTTGGTTCTGACCATGTGGTTGACCTGTCGATGATTTGTAGTGGCGTCGTATGGGTTTGGTGGTCCACTCTGGTAGTTGCCACCACAATTGCTGGCCTTATTTCCTCTATCACATCCTCTTCTTCGATGAATAAATTTAATTCCATGGCAGAAGAAAAGAAATATTATGCACACATATTTCGATGTTGTTTAGGTGTTTTTATACTACTCAGTATATGGCATATGATTTTGACTAGTCCAATAATAATTAATTAATGTGACTGTTATGTACATTATTAACACTTATATTGATCAAAAATTTACATTGATAGGAGAAAGAGTGGGAGTATGTACATATTTTTACCGTCCGTCTTCTCTCGATTTCTCTTTACTCTTTGAGTACTGTCATTATAGGTAGTGGAGGAATGGCGATGAATTTTTCTCTATTTCTTTTGCAGAGATAGATACTGATCACCATAGTTGTACAGAAGAGAAACAAGGTAAGAATCCCCAAACCATAAACCACAATGTGCGGTCTTTTCTCCGAGGTAGCGACTGGAATTCCTTTCGTTAATATGGAGTCCAGTGCCGCTGAAACATCGGCAGTTATTGTCGGGATCTGATCCCATGACTGGTCCGTTAGCACTGCTTTTTGTATGTCAAGTATCCCGTCCACAGACTTTTGTAGAGAACAATTTTGATATACCACTTGGCCTTGTTGTACCTCTGTTATTGCTCTACCTGGAATTGTAAACCCAGGTGATTCTGAACAAACCAGGGAAGTTCCGGGTTTTACTGGAACAAGGGCAATAGCGGGAAGGTCTAGCTTTGGGATTTCGCCTGACCGACCCTTATATTCGGAGAAAATTTTCGGGTCCGGAACACTAACGCAATATAAACTTTGGTTGGAAGATATCGCCCAATACTTTCCTTGAATTTGTTGCCAATAATACGGAGCCGGAGGTATGATTTGTGTGTGACATTGATGATGTATCCCTCCTTGAAATATCTGTGCTAGACATTGATTCGTTATTGAGGAATATATTGGCGGAGTATCTCTGCAAATTGTGACATTGTCAAATACACATCCTCCAATATTCTCTTGTGACCATTCGATGGGTCTATTATTATCATTATCCGTGCTAGTACCAATATACTTAGGAATCTGTTACTCTGATATATTTGGTACGATGAAAGAACGGGACAGTAACTAGCTCGTGTACCACAAATGGTGATTCTGTTGTCTCCGGCATAGCAAAGTGACAAGTTATTAGGATTCTACCTATTTGCCGATTACTCGGCCGTGTCGCCGAATAGAGTGGCCATGGTATAAATGTAAGTTGTTGAGCAATCAGAAGCTGCGTGATGGCCGACGTTAATGGAATTTCGGTAGGGAAAGTTGTATTTTCCATAGACGCAAACCGAACAATGGTTTGAATTAACTCATCAAATTCAGTCGGAGCCACAAATTTCAGCGTTAATTTATTTTGGATCATATCGTTGATGGCTGTATAGAGAATATTATGCTCCACTCGGCTCTCCAATCGATCAACTCTGCCAGCTAGGTATAGTAGAGACTCGTTTATGGCCTGTATATCGCCTTGCTGGCGATTTGATCTTTCAATAATACTATTTACTACTTTATTGGTTTCATTGAGCTGAGCTCCCAATAATATCATGCCATCCTTTAGTAATGCGGTTTGTGCCATAGAGACCTGAACGTTGGCCATGGCCGTTCTAGCAATGCTCTTTGTTTCCTCAACAGATGCTTCCAGTTTAGCGATCTGAATAGAATTAGCTACT